ACCCCAGGGTTCTCACCATGTAGTGAGGGGTGTGTCTGTAGTTTTGCACAAGTATGTTACTACCATCACAGACACTGGCCCCTTGCTCTTATTTTCGCGGCTCACAAGACAACGCAGTACTTAAGCTAAGTTCCTTCAGAGTCTTCTAAGATATAGCCTATCCACAAGTTTAATGATGTAATATATATGTGGATCAGTGCATTCAGCAGAAGCAGGTAATTACATTATCCCAAAAGGAATGCTTGGCCACCCCAGGGATGTGCAAGCAGTGATTGAATTAGAAGGTTTCTCTGGTGAAATTAAAACAGTAGCAACACACTGATGCCCTTAATACCACAGGGGGCATTTGTGGTTTGATGAATTATTAATTTTTAGTAGACTATAGACAGTGCAGCAAAGAAAACGCAATGACTTGCATGAGCTAGATGTAATAAAAATATTAATACCTGATTGCAGATATATACTGAAAGATTCATTAAGTTAGACACTATCTTTACTGAAAAATGTGTTTTAAAAATGAGAAATACTGAAAAGGTGTAATGTAGTGTTGCCCTTGTAATACTTGTTCTGTCTTATGTATCAGCCTATCAGCCACCAGTGAGCTTTTTGCTTGCTGCAGAAGTGGGAAGGGCCCCTGAAATCTTCGATAACGAAGCCAAGCTGAGAGACTTGTTCTTAAAAATTTGCAGTCAGACTTTGCAGTCATCTTGCTTCTGAAGTTACGTTGGAAGACTTTTATTGATTCCTGTGCAAATTGTATTGGCCAAGACGAATGTGAAAAGTACCGCTCGGTACTTAATAATGTCAGATTTCCAATCATGATAGATAGTGTGTAAAGTGAGTTCAAGCTGTGACGTAAGTGGTGTGTCGCACTGCGCAGCCTTCCAAGAAGTGCTGGATAATGAAATTGAACCCCCGTGCGATTGAAAAGACTGAGGCTGCAGTAAGTAAATTTTATGGATGATCTCTGTTCACACACTGATTTTTGCCAGATTTAAAAAAAAAATTTGTTCCCTTTCAGAGATGGTCAACATGACAAGAAAAAGGCAAAAATGGGAAAATATTTTGTTTTAGCCTCGAGCATACTTGTACGTGTAGACATGAGTTCAAGTGATAATACTTCGTTGCTAGTATGAGTGTAGTTGTAGGAGAGAAACTAGTTCAGAACTTGTAGAAGCAATTACTAGTGTTGTAGCCTTTTGTATAGTTGCCAACTTGGTAATAAGTGATACCGATACTAGGCTGCTACACTAGTGTTAGCCTGGGTACCATCCGGATTTTCGCTACGCAACGCTTGAAAAAATCAAGCGTTGCGTAGCGAAAATCCGGATGGTACCCAGGCTACACTAGTGTCACTTTCTATGCTTCTTGAATATAAGAATAAATTTAAGGTAATAAGATATTTTGTTGCTCCGATTCATATTACAAACAATGTTTGTGGTCTGTCTGTTCTAAAAATGCATGCATCAAGTTTTTTTTACCCATGTTTTTTTTTGCATTCTTCATTCGATTTTGAGTCTGTAAGGGATGACAGCCATGAAATTGACTTGCTATGGCCTAACCACGATTAATGACAAGATAGACGGCCTCCCCCTTGCCCAACCAAAGCAGGGTTAATAGGAACAAGTATGAATGACGCCACATGCGTAAGTCGTGACGCAAACATCCTCGGATCCGGAAATTGGATGGCAGGAATTGGATAAAAGATGTGATTAGCGTGACGTTCTGAAGTGGAAGAGGAATGGGAGAGTCTGTTTTTTATCAAGATGTCTATTATGTGGGCACAGCTGGGATGGCCTCCTGCAGCATTTAGATAAAAAGAGTAAGTACTGCCATAAAGGCAGTACGAAGTCAGTAGCAGGATTAGAATACCATGCCAG